TGTATGTGTTTTTCCCCAGGATCGCACGGAGCCGTTGTGGGTCCCTGAACGCCTGACAAGAAGAGTCTTGACATCAACCGACCAGCAACAAGAGATACCACAGCAACCCTGTGATGAGGATCTTCACTCTGCTACGTGCTCTGGTTCTGGTGCTGGTGCCGATGGCACAGACGACACCAATGCAGTGGTGGGCAGTGGCACGGGCTTGGCCAATGCCGATGCCGGTTCATGGTAGTTCTAGTGTCCTCCCCACTCTTTTCTCTACCTCATGTGAGATGTCTGCTCCCTGTGCCTCTCCTAGAGGGGACATGGAGAGCATTTTTAATCAATCTCAGGTTAATCTCACAGGAGTTTTTTTTTCAGCCTTGGAAACGCTAATTGCATTAGCCTTAAGACCAAAAATTTGACTAACTGGGAGGACCCATTGCGGTCCAATCAAGTCTCAGGGAGTATTATTAATGCCGTACTGAGCCAAGTAGTTTCAGGGAAGCAATCAGGTTCAGGGACCCCTGTAAATAGCTCTGCTTTAAACATAACTACCTTGGCTATGATCTCCAAGGTACTAATCCCAGTGCCTCCTTCTTCTAATAGTACTTACAATGCCACTCATTTCAAGGCCTCTCCTTACTGTACCCCTAATCTTGGTTTCCCCCCAACATTTACGCCTTGTCAGGATCATTCTTGGGAGAAACTTCAAGTTGCTAAGGGTTTCTCCTTTTCCCCCTCTCTTAAGAGGTATGTTTATAACTTTAACCATAGTGCCAACTCCTCTACAGGAGTAGGTTGGTCCTGGTTTCAATGGCTGATTTCCAATGAGAAGGGGGCTTCAGCTGATATTTCTGCATTGGCTCAATTGCTGGGAGCCAAAAGCTGGCTGGCTAATGTTTCTGGCACTGTTAGGGAGAGTGAACGAGGTAATAGACTTACATCTGTTTCGTTCAACTCTTTGCTATATAATGCCACATTGCCCCCTGCGATGGTCTGCGTCCAATCCCCGTTCTTGCTCCTTTTGGCTAATGACACCTCGTCGGGGATGCTGGATTGTTCTAGTGTTACCTGTCTCTTATCTGAGTGTTGGAATGGTTCTTGGACTGTAGCAGTGGTTATGAAAATTCCAACCTTTGTCCCAATCCCAGTCACTGCGGACCCAGATAAATTCCCCATTGTTGAGCTACTTAGAGTCTGCAGGGATTTTGGAATTACGGCAGCTATAGTGACAGCTGTGGCAGTGTCTGCTGCTGCAGCGGTTACGGCCGGAGTGGCCATGGCCAGTCAAGTACAAACTGCTGCCACCATTAATCAAGTTGTTCAACAAACTTCCACCATACTTGAGTCCCAAAATTCAATTAATCAACATATTTTGTCAGGGATTTTAGCTGCCAACCAAAGAATAGATTTACTCAAAGCTCAGGTAGAAGAATTGGCCGACTTGGTGCTTTTGGGTTGTGTTGACCAACGTGCACATTTATGCATAACCTCTGTCAGATTTAATGATTCCAGGAATGCCTCCCGCATCATTGGCGAATATTTGGCCGGAAATTGGTCCATGGCAGCAGAAAACTTGATCCAGTCTCAACTAACTCAGATTGCTGTTTTGAACAGTACCCATGTTGAACCAGTGACTTTGGGTCAATTCACCGATTGGATATCTTCTGCTTTTTCCTTCTTCAAAGAGTGGGTGGGAGTAGGCATTTTTGGTGCAATGTGTTGCTTCAGTGTTGTACTCTGTTTGTGGCTTCTCTGTCGCCTTAAGGCCCGCAGTGCTCACGATAAGGCTATGATCATACAAGCTCTTGCAGCTTTAGAAAATGGCAACTCGCCTCAAGTCTGGCTTGCGCATCTTAAGCAGTAAACCTTTGTCATGGTCGTTACACCCCAAGTTATTATAACATTGCACTGGGATCGACATGACTTTCCTTGTTATTCTCTTAGTGTTGGAAAGCCCTTGCACTCTGCCGGTATTACTGCCATTGCACGCAGATGGGTTTCCACACTAGTGCTTTTCTATCACCTTGAAGTTCGTGCCTTTCTTTCAGGGTGCTGTCAACTTGTTTGTCATTATAAACAGTCACAGTTCAGCCTCAGCTATCCCCCTTCGTCCACCATCGTCACAATACAGGATGCGAGGCAAGGCACTGCACTTGAGTGATCCTTGACGAGGACCTCAAGGAGAGCATGTCCTATTGCATGCGGGTTAGACGCGTCCACGCCCCGCCCCACGAAAAAAGGCGTCGGCTGATATGGCCTCAGGTCTGGGGAAGGCGCCTCCTTAGGACTGAGTCATACTATGCAGCCACTTCTGCACAGTGGGATAGGACCTCTACTCTCGCCTGTATTGTTTTAAGAAAACAGAAAAGGGGGAACTGTGGTGAGCCGCTTCTGCCATTTCTGCAGATTATGGTCGCCATTACAAGATGACACTGGCTCCGCTGTGGTCTGTGACAAACAACTTCTTATCTGGGAGAGTTGGCACATGATTTTTCACCACCCTGTGAGAAAGCTCCACGCGGCAGCTTTGCATTGGGGCTTGGGATGCTTTATTAAGGCTGGAAGGGGCATCCGAGGGAGAGAAGAAGAAATATCAAGGGCCTAAATAAACTGTTGAAAGAAGATTCCCGAGTTGCATCTTCCTTGTGGGCAAGGGGTCGCGACAGAGCATGGTGAATGCATTAACTCTGAGAACATTAGTACTATCTACAGGTCAGAAAATTGAGCTTCCTAAGATTATGGAGTTAATAGTTAATAAAATGAGGCACATGAAGTTTATTAGCATGATGCACTTCTCCCACCTGTCAAGTGGAACACTGAGGTTTTTTCCTCCTACTGTCGAGAACAGCCTGGGGACAGACAGCGTGGATTAAGGTGCTGTCCAGGCCACACTCTCCACAGTGCTCTGACATATCCCTTAAGCTCATGACTCACAGTATCTTAGTAATAAAATCAGGAAGCACTGATATGGTGCTTGGGTTGTGGGGCACTGCAAGGACACTTGGACCGATGAGGGGAAGAGATGCAGTGCCTCAGGGCCCTGGATCACTGTCTGCACTGAGCACATGAGGTCTTGTTTCCCCTTGACAACCTCTGAACTCACAGGGGATCCAGAAGAGGGCAGCACCTGGGGCTCAGGGGGTATGGGACTCAGGTTGGTGCTCACCTGCAGAACAACCCAGTTAAGGCATGCACACTGTGCTCTGCACAGGAATGGGCTGGGAAGCATGTCTCATGCTCTCAGGAAAGGACCACCACAGGTATCATGGAGATGTGCAGAGGTAAGGCAAGGACTGAGCACTGTAGCTGGTCAGACGTTTCCTTACTTCAAAGAGCAGGGTCTTGTCCTAATCCCACTGCTGTTAGGTACACTCAGTATTTTTGGCAGCATTTTGACTACTCAGCCCTGCACCCCACCTTCCCTGTGGCAGGAGTGTCCCCATCATTCCCTCCACCCTTCCTCCTGAGGATGTTGGAGAATAGACACTGTTCCCTGAAACCAGAGCAGGGCTGGCCACTTGATCTGCAACCACATTTCCAAGGGAGACTTGTGGACAGGACAGGGCTAGAGTCTTAAAGGCAGGTGGTCATCACAGCTGAGAGTTAGGACAGGAGCATCCTGGACCTGGATATCCTGTGAATTATTCTCCTAACGTGGGATTTCTGGTGAGGTGATGAGTTGGAATCCAACAAAATCCCTGCACATAAAGAGAGAGTTGAACTTAGAGAGAGAACACTTTCATATTAGATGCACAGTTTGGGGACTGGGCCATTTAGACAGAATTTCTCTCTCTCTTCACAAATGCTCACCATCACATATGTGACAAAAGTCAGAGCAAATATTGTATCCAATCTTTTTAAAAATATTTTTTAGTTGTTGATGTACTTATATTTTTAATTTATTTATATGTGGTGCTGAGGATCAAAATCAGTACCTCACACATGCCAGGCAAGTGCTCTGCCACTGAGCCAGAACCCCAGCCCCAATACTGTATCCAATTTTACTGTTTTTTTTTTTTTTGCTTGTGTGTCCTGGATAACAGGGAGTATAGAAGATGAGGAAGGCTATACCTCATGTAAAAACCACCAAAGTGGCAGTGTTGTGTACTCTTGGGATAGAAAAATGATATGTATGTTTAGAGAGAAGTGGGAGAGAAAGCAGGGGCTGTGATGGGCTCAAACATGAAGACTCAACACCCAGAGCCAGAGTGGATGGCAGGAGTGAGACTGGGCATCAGGAAGAGAGAAGAGTCCTGGGAGAAGGTGTTGGGCTCAGGAAGATGGGCTCCTGTCGGGGTTTTTAGCCCCCGCCCCATTCCCTCTTGACCTGTGGGAGAGATTGGGAAGAGCACGCCCTGACCAGGATGAACCAAGAAAGGAAAGGGTCAACTGATCACTGGCACCCAGCCCTCCCCCGCAGGAGGACAATCAGATGCCTCAGGGAGACCAGTCAAAGCAGGATCACAGTTTATTGAGAAAACACACACAGCTAATATAATGTACAGGAGCCAATCAGGATAAAGATCAGCAGGGTGGGGGGAATTCACATGTACACTCATCCTACAGGCAGGAGCTGTCCACGAGGGTGGAAGGGTTCTTAGCCTATCCTAGAGGTGGTCTGAGTTTTTGTCACCACCCAGGCAATGCCTTCTGGCTGATTGCCAGGTGCTATCTTAGCCACATGTGGCCCCAGGACCAGGAAGTGGGTAGCAAGTTAGTTTTTCTCTTTTCTGATGCAACATGCCCCACATGTTGCATGCCCTACATCAAGTTAGGTTTCCTCCTTTATGATGCACATGCCCCACATGTTACATCATGCCCTACAGGCTCCTCCTCTGATAGCCTTCCAGCACCCCTGAAACCACCTGCTCTCCTCTTACAGGTAAAGCTCCACTTGGGTTCCAGACAGGGACATATCTCAGGAGCACAGAGGACCTGTGCAGCCTGACCTCAGCCTCTCCATATATAAGAAGAGCCTCACCCACATGCAAATGCCTCCTTCTTCTCTGGGTTCAAAGGCCCTCTGGGCTGTGGGAGCTCCCAGCTCTCTGCTCAGACAGGGCTGAGGTCTCTGGGAAGGCAGGTGTGGTCTAGAAGATGAGGCTGCTGGGTCTTGTCCTGTGCCTGGTCACAGTTCCTCAAGGTGAGTGTCCTCAGTGTCAGACCTGGGTCTATGGGGACACTGTGACTCCAGGTGACTGAAAGGGTGTGACTGTACTTGTCCCCAGGTGTCCTATGCCAGGTGCAGCTGCAGGAGTCAGGACCTGGCCTGGTGAAGCCCACACAGACCCTGTCCCTCACCTGTGCCATCTCTGGATTCTCCATCACAACCAGTGGTTACTGCTGGGATTGGATTCGTCAGCCTGAAGGGAAGGGGCTGGAGTGGATAAGTCGAATATGTTCTGATGGTAGCACTGCCTACAGCCCATCCCTCAAGAGCCGAGTGTCCATTTCCAGAGACATGTCCAAGAACCAGTTCTCCCTGCAGCTGAGCTCCCTGACCACTGAGGACACAGCCACCTATTACTGTGCCAGAGACACAGTGAGGGGACCTCAATCTGAGCCCAGACACAAATCTTCCTGCAGGGCACCCAGGGCCAGCAGGGGGTGCTCAGGTTCAGGACAGGAGCAGGTGCAGAGGAAGGAAAGAACCTTGGCCCCCAGTCCTGAGCTCCCCTCCCAGGCAGATCCTCATGAGACTAACAGTCATAGTTGTTTTAGAGAAGCCTCCTCCCCTTGGAGACCACTCAGGTCTCCTTATCAGGTATGATTTGTCAGGAGTCCCCTCTCTCAGTGCAGGCTGCACAGTCTTGCCTGTTGTTGGCCCTTTCTGTGCAATGACATGTACTGCATGGTGCCACCACATGAGCTGTGTGAACACTTCATGGTTCAGGGGATTGCCTCCTCTCTCAGAAGGTCTTCACATCTTCCCCTCCCAGTGTCTCTCCCAATCCAGTGTTCCCAGTGGTCTTCCTGTGACTGATCAAGATGCTCATGGGGCCAGGACAGCTTACTGATTTGGGACAGCAATTAAACTATGATTTGGAAGTTTATAATAAAATTAGTGCCTATGTTAGAAGGGCATGGAGGGAACTACCTACTAAAGGAGAGAAAATCTTAGATTTCAGTCAAATACAACAGGGACAAGAGGAAAAATTCTTGGATTTTATGGCTCATCTGTATTAGGTTGCTAGCTGCATAGTAGGTGACTCTAATTGTTCTGAGGTACTGGTCAAACAACTAACCATTGAAAATGTCAATTATATTTCTCAAGAGATAATATAGCCACATCCTAAGAAAGGGACATTTCTGAATTTATTCACTTCTGTTCCTATGTAAGTCCCATGCATTTATAAGATCTCACAATTGCAGGGACATTAAAACAGGCTCTACAACCTCCATCCAAGAGACACAATTCTCAGAGGCAGTGTTTTAATTGTGGAAAAGCTGGATACAGGGTTAGGGTCTATGGATTGCCATGAAATCAGGGAGGTTCACATGGTTTTCAGCAGCACCATTGGAGGGGCAACCACATGGCATAGGGAGGCCACGGCCAGAATGTCATAAATGGCCAGTCTCCATTTATGGCCCCACTGGGAAACAGGAGGCAAGGCTGGCCCTGCCTAACAGTAAGGGAATTGAAGTATACTCAGAAGGAGGAGCCAATGGCTCCTAGTCCTATGTCATCATGCCTGGCCCAATTTCTTTATGCACTAGCCCAACCAGCCCAAACTTACAATCCCTCAAGAAGTTTCTGGCCCAAAGGCCAAGACCTTGGAGCTCTGACCAGCCATGGAGCTAATTTTAACTCCTGAGATAGGCCCCAAACTAATTTTTACAGAGATTTGTAGGCCACCATGCCAGATACGATAGGTTTATTACTAGGATGCAGCAATTTGATTCAGAAAGGTATTCAGGTATTACCAGGTGTTGTTGATGCAAATTTTGATGGGGAGATTAAACTTACATTTCAATCAAATTGCATTATTCAGCTTTCTCCAAAAAATATAATTGAACAGATTTTTTTTTTTTTGCCTTGCTGCTCTATAAAGGGAAATCTAGGGACTGTCCAGACGGAATTCCAAATCCTGAGTTCCCCTACTGGGCCTACTGACCTCAACTGATTAGATAAGAGTACCCTCTATTGGATTTTAAAAACAACCATAAAAATGTCAAAGGCATAGATACAGGAGCAGATAAATCAATTATCTCCAGCAGGTACAGGCCCTGAAAATGGCCTTTAAATATTGCACCTGCCAGTATAGAAGGGATTGGTCAAATTTTGCAACCTGCTCAGAGTGCTCAATACTTTGGATGAGAAGATAAAGATGATAATTAAGGACTCTTTAAACCCTATGTCATGGATACATTGCCAGTAAATTTGGGGGGTCAAGATATTCTAAGCAGCATGGATGTATTATTAATAACTTCAAATTCCATATACTTGATCAAGGATTTATTTCTCCTAGAGGATTTGAAGGGAATCAGCAAGAAGGTTATTTGTCTATGACTCAGTCTCCTCAGTGAAGACAATTTAATTCACTCAATCAAAAATTTTGATAGGAGCACTGATTTTCTCCTTGGCCCCAAAAAACAGCAGAAAAAAATAACTGGCTTACAAAAGAGCCAATTTGGGTTTGTCAGTGGCCCTTAACAGGGGAGAAATTTCAAATAGCGAATATTGTAGTTCAAGAACAACTTCAAGTTGGCCATATAGAGCCTACTTGTAATCCCTGGAATACTCTAATTTTTGTGTTTAAGAAAAAAAAAATCTGGGAAATGGAGGCTATTATAAGATCTTAGGGCAATTAATTGTATTATCAAGCCAACGGTAGCCTTACAGCCTGAACTTCCTTCTTCTACAGTCATTCCTTTTGATTATTATTTAATTGTAATGGATTTAAAAGATTGTTTTTCACTACACCATTACATCCAGATAATTGTAAGAAATTTGCTTTTAGTTTTCCAGCTGTAAATTTCAAACAACCAGTTAAGAGATTTTGCTGGAAAATTTTGCCTCAAAGTATGTGTAGTAGTCCAATCCTTTGTCAGAACTTTGTAGCTCAGGCTATTGCTCCTGTAGGGAAAGAATTCCCTGGTGCATATGTCATCCATTATATGGATGATATTCTTTTGGCTCATGCTAGGCCAAATGTATTCTTAAAAATTTTTGCTCATCTAGAAACTTCACTTACTGCAATGGGCTTATGCATAGCACCTGAGAAGGTACAAATGACCTCTTCTTTTGAATGTTTAGGTAATGAAATTGAAGGATGCATGATTTTTCCTCAAAACTTATGAATAAGAGTTGATGGTTTACACAGTCTTAATGATTTCCCAAAGTTACTAGGTGATATCAATTGGCTGAGACCAAGTTTAAAACTAATCTCTGAAGATTTGAGTTCTTTGTTTCAGATTTTACAGGGGGATCCTTCTCCAGTTTCTCCTTTTCAACTTACAACAGATGCAAAGATGGCCATAAAAAGGTTGGATTTGCTATTAAAACTTCCCAGCTTACTAGAATTAGCCCACAGAAGCCTATGTATCTGTTAACATTTCCCACTGCTCATACTCCTACAGGAGCGATATGACAATCACTGGGAATTATTAAATGGCTCCACCTAGCTCATTCTCCTCAAAAATCATTGACCCCATTTCATGATTTTATTGCTCAGTTGGTTATTAAAGGGAGAACATGAGTTTTACAAATGGTCAGGTCAAAACTTAATGTTATTTTTGTACCTTTCTCTACTCCACAGAATGATTGGCTTTTCCTAGCCTCTAATATTTGGCAAATAGATTTTGCAAATTTCCCTGGTCAAATATAAAATCACTACCCTCATGACAAAATTATTCAATTTGCTTGGTAACTACCTTTATTTTCCCCAAAATTGTATAGGCTCAACAAATAGTTGAGCACTAACAGTATTTACTGATAGGTCAAGATCAGGTAAAGCAGGTTTCTATAGCTGTGCTTATACAGAGATAATACAGACATCATATGCTTCTTCACAACAAGAAGAACTTCAAGCTCTCATTTTTGCTTTAATTCATTTTTCAAATGAGCCAATCAATATCTATTCTGATAGTTTATATGCAGTTGGAGTTACAAAAATATTGAAACATCGACTATTAGGTACACCATAACAAGAGTTATTAATTTGTTCCATACTTTACAAAAGACAATTCAAATGCATCACCATCTGTGTTTCATAGGCTATATATGAGCTTATTCAAACCTTCCAGGTCCTTTAGCATCAGATAATAATAAGATCGATAAACTTACTGCACTTTGTTACTAAATGTCTTTATATGATTTTGTGTAAGCCTCACATTCTTTGCATCATCAAAATGCTTCTACTTTACATAAAAAATTAATATTAATAGAGAGAAAGCTCATGAAATTGTTCATTAAATGCCCACAATGTGTTATACATATCTTATATTTACCATATTTTCATCTTTACCAACTGGGGTTAATCTCTGTGGTTTATGACCAAATCAGTTATGGCAAATGGATGTAACTCACATCCCTCAATATGGCAAATAGTGTTATGTTCATATCATTGTAATACTTATTCTAGATTTATTTTTACAACAGATCATGTATAATAAAATAGTTCATTGCCTAGCTGCTTTTGCACCATTAGGATTTCCTTTGCAGATTAAAACTGACAATGCTCCAGCTTATACTAGTTCTTCTTTCCAGCAATTCTGCCATCATTTTTGTATTGAATATAAAGCAGTTATTCCTTATAACCTTCAAGGTCAAGCCATTATAGAATGAGATCATTTATCTATTAAGCTACAATTACAAAAACAGAAAGGGGGAAATAAGACCCCCCAAAATATCCTTAATCATACTTTGTTTGTTTTAACTGTTCTAAAAATTGTGACTCTGAAGGTCACACTGTAGCTGAGCAACACATCTTCCATTGCAACAGATCCCTTGGGCCAAGTTTGTGGAAATATTTACAAACAAGTCAATGGAAAGGACCAGATCCAGTGATAATGGGGGGTAGAGGTTATGCTTGTATTTTCCCAGAAAATTTATCCTACCTGGGTACCTGAATATGTCATTAGACATAGAAAACCTAAATCCAAGATTCAAAGGGCTAAAGATCAATCCAGAGATGTCAGCCTTGGCTCCCAGCAAGAAAATGAAGCTTCCTGTACCACCCTATTTACCTGAAGGAAGAGGGGGATGAAGAAGGCCTAGAGAGACCCAACAGTAAAGCTACCATCATGGAAACAGCTGAAGAACCTAATGCTACAGGCTGAATAGATGGCTCAGCAACAAGGAAGAACAAAGTCTCCAGCTGTGCTGTTTGTAACCATGCAAGCTCTCTTGAGCTGTCAGGTAAATAGAGTGGTACAGGAAGAAATATTGAACATATTTTCTAGATCCCTCTTTAGTGCACTGAGTGGTGTGGACTGAAAGATTTATCCCAGTATTTACCAATGACTCATAAATAATAGGAGGTTTTACAGATACCCATAATCCTCCCAGCCATGTGACTGGATTTAATTGTTCTGGCTATAGTGGTCAGCTACCTATATGTTGGTTCCACAATAAACATGCTGTCTAAGGGTACCTTTTGAGGAAAAGAGAGAATCTGGGGGTCCTAGAAACTCAAAGCCATATGTTAGAACAGTTATTAAATTAGGACTTTCTCATAACAGACCAGTCATATCTGAAGAACATCTGCCAATACCTCACTGTTCTAATTGCTCTGCAATAGAATTTGACATCTTCCCTAAGTAGATGGATTGTTCAAACACTTTGCCAGTACAACATAGTGCCTAGAAATAGTGGATGCATTTTAGACTGGTCCTTAAGAATTGAGGAAAGACAATTACACAAGGGTGTCATAACCCCTCGAGGCTTTGTTAGTAATATCTTGACCTCCAGCAAGGGTGGCATCTAGAAAGATGTTTGATGCTTGATTGCTGCCTCAGAATTTTTGTATTTTACTGTGTACAAGGTGTACAAGCAGACCTATGTTCAATCTCTTTTTTAAGTTTTAAATACTGGAAATGTGAGAGTTAAGAGAAAGACTGATAAATATTTTGTAGCTTGTAAAAAATGCAATTTTGTTAATTGTGTCACCAGATATAATAGAGGGAAAGAAACACTGGAAATTCACCAGCCCTCTTTTGTCCTATTGCCAGCTAACACCTCAGAACCATGGTATGCTGATGCTGGTGCTACAGTGTTACAAATGCCTGCCCAGTGTACCAGACCTAAGCAAGCTCTTGGTCTCATAATATTTGGGGTGGCTGCTTCGGTTTCATTCATTGCTTCTCTGGTCACAGCCTCAGTGGCCATATCTCAGAACATTCAGCATGCACATTTTCTTAGTAATTTGACGCAAAACACTTCCAGAGTGTGGGGAGCTGCTCTGAATGACCCCCACCTTCCATTCCTGAAGCAAGAGGCTCTGATCAATCACTACATTTCATTGTGACTTGGGCATTGTCCCAGTCCAGGAAGTAGAAGGCATGTCTTCAGGTGTAGGTGTGTCATCCATGGGGTTGAGTTACACTCACCTATTCTTTTATAATCCTACTCTTTTGCCCTGTTTGGGATAGAATGTTCCATGGAAACTCCCTTTGTGTGTCCCCTTCTCTTGCTCTGTCTTTGGGTGTGGCCTTCCTAGATGTCAGTCAACCTGCTGACAGCTGACATCACAAAGCTAGACTCAACCCCCTGAAACCTGACCTCTTGCCTCATTTGAATGGCTTCTTCTCAACAAATGGATTAAGCATGTTCTCTCTTTCTCTCT